CTTTCCAGCCACCTCTATACTCTCACAGCCAGTAGATTGCAATGGGGATAGGTGAGTGGTAATGGGAAAACCACCCACCAATAATAACAATACTGTCATATCCAAGGAAAACTGTCAGAGACTGGGATCCCTACAGACTGGGCATTATTCAAACATAAAAGAAGGTGTTTTCCCAATATAAAGAGAAATCTTTAGTAATCCACATATGTCACCATAAGTTACACTTTTTTCTATTGTCTACTGCTTTAAGAATGGATTCTGGAACCTGACTCTTTCTCCATGTAATTTATTGTGAATTAGGAATATGTTCTTCTTATGAAATCAGAAGGCAAAAATCAGAAAAATTAATATGAAAAGAGGCTCTTTAGTGATATAGAAGGAAAAGCTAAATCTGAGTCTTTTTCCACTATTACCATTTCTTGTATTATTTAGTTTCATAAGTATGCTGACTGCTTTCTAGAGCAAAAAAGCTCCACTGCATAAGACTACTCTCTAAAAAACAATAATTATTTGGTTTTATGAGTGTTTAATATGTATGGCAATAATGTTTAACTTGCAATCATTGCTGTCAGAGCAACTTGATACCCTAACTAAGTCATTGCCATATCAAATAGCCCAGCTGCAGGAGATTAGAATCATTTCAAACACACTGTTAAATAAAATTATTCAGAAAATAATAAACTAATTACTGTAAATGACTTTAAAGATGAAATATTCAATTTAGAGTACCAGGAAATTTAATAGCACGCAACACTACCTTAGCTGGAGAACCTTCTCAAAAATCAACAAACAGTGTTTCATATCCATTCAAAATGACCTGTGAACTTGTCACAATAGAAATGTATCTTAATAATCTAACGTTAAATGAAATGTTAGGAGATAATTGTTACTTCTGTGGGATTTCTAACACTCTGCATACACAAACCATAAATCTAATTAACATGAACAAATTGCTATGATTATTATTGAAATATTCATTTCATGGCAGGTCATCCTTCAATATCCCAATGCATTATGAAGTTTATTTTTACAGATTAGTCTATAAGTGTATATATATTCTATAAAATGATTTAATTTGCCATTTTACTTCAACAATTTTGAGTATATAGTAATTCTTGAATGTATGAGATTCCTTTCCAACAATACATGCTTTGTTTCTTTTAATCTCTTCTCTGGAGCTTTTTATTCGGTTTGTAGAGCTACATTCATCAGTTTAGTTTCTTATCTTGTAACATAATTCTTTCCATTGGTTTCTTCATTATCCTCTGAATGACAGTAAATCTCTGCTTCACCATGCTGATGAAGGATTACATCTGTTAGATGTCACAACTGCAAGAATATGCTTCTTTTAGATCTTCACCTTCTAAATCTGCCTCCACGTTCTATCTCTTCCACTTAATTAAATCATTGTTTAAATTAGTTTTCCATTTAATTTGAGCAAAACCTCTGGAATAAAATAATTTAAATTAATAACTACACAGCTTCCACTCCTTAATAAACAGTTATTATTGGGCATTCCAGCCTGACTGGACTGAGCTGATTTTAATTAAATAAGTTAAAGACAAAATCCTGAACAGATAGAAGAGAAAAGAGACAGAATAAAGCCCGACAATACACCTGGAGAGTAAAAAAGTACATTACTCCAACACCTTGTAAAATATATGTCTGGTGATGTCCTGTTGATACTGACTGGATATAATTAGCTGTTTATCAATGGATAAGATTAACTTCTTAATTCAAAGTAATAGTAGGTAAAGATTCTTGTCACCCAGTTGAGCTCAAAAGGGATTTAAACCATAAAGGAGATTTAGAGGTCCTACCCAGCTTGGGAGAGAATTGCAGCAGGACAAATGGCACGTGCTGGGTGGGCATGAAGGAGGTGAGCTCCCCAGATCCAGCTGTGGTGCCTGGGTAGGGGTAGCTGCCTCCTTCAGACACTCTCTCAAAACCTGTATTCTGAATCTTGCCACAAAAAAGCTCCACAATAAAAATCTGGCCCTGTCTGAATATTGTTTCATAACCACAGAAAATATTATATTCAACAGAGAGCAGAACCAAGTCACAGAGAGAGATTCTGAGAGCTTCAGTCAACCGCCACATCACAGCAAAGAGGCACAGCAACTTTTGTAACAAAAAATGAATAACAACTCTTAAGAAGCTGCTTCTTGTCCACTAATTTAACAAACAAGTGAAAAACAAAGGAAGAAAAGACAGAAGAAATACTCAAAAGCTTTTATGTCAAAGATAGTGAAAACATGAATTGTACTCCTGAATTCTCCATCCTTTGAATCCAACTGCTACCCATAAATTTATTCCTCCAGTGGCAAAATATTTTGATTGAAACAGCTTTCCAATTTAGGCTTTGCCTGCTGAATTTCTCTTGAGGGGTAAAAAGGATCCTGACCTTCCTCCTGCTATTTCTTCCTTGCCTCTCCCTCTGTGCTCCCAAAGGAGGCACAGCAATTATGGGGTCCTGGGCATGCACTCTTGGCCACAGCCCCTTCTCCATCCAAAACCAAATCTTAATAGAAAAGCAAAACAAACTTGCAAATTTTGTATCCTCAGGTATTGAGGCTGCTGCCTACAGATCAGAAACAATAGTTTGTTCTTCAAGAACTGCCAAATTCACTGTGAAAGGTGAAAAAAACACTAAAGAAGTCATAGGGAAGCTTTTACTAAGATAAAGGCACTGTACTAAGAGCAAGAAACAACGCACAGACATGGCCAGATCTAGTAGTAAAATGACCTTCAGAGGAATAGCAGAAGTGACACAAAACTTAAAGCTCAACAGAAAATCTATTAAAAATACAGAGAAGTATTTAACAGTCAGTACAGGAAAACATACATCAGCTACAGAAATTCAAGCTTCTGACTTAAAATAATATAGGGTATACACATACATCTGTACGCATGTAGACATGGGCAAGCCCCATGAAAGGAATGAGTGCTAAAAAGAAATGTGAGAGAACACAAGCCGCTAATGTTATTGAAGATCCGCTCTACCATCAGATAAAAGATAAATCTGTGGATTACAGAAGAGCAGCACATGCTGCTAACTGTAATGAAAATCCAAACAGCACCACGCTAACGACAGGAAAACCTTGCAACGCTGGCTCACGCCTCACCATGAAGCCAGAAACGTGGCTGGAAATGCACTTCTTCCCCTGGTTTACATGGGGGTAAAAAAGCATAGATTATACTTTGTAACTTTAAGGAAAAACGTCAATTAATTATTTGATTATGCAAATAGTAATTGGCTCTGGAGCTAGCAATAACACTCTTGATACCACATGCATGAGTCGACTTCATCACTTCTCAAAGCAATGCTGACATTTCCAGCTTTGACTAGTCAATTGCAAACAGCAAATGGTAAGATAAAAAGAAAGCGATTAAAGCCAGAATCACCGCTGGAACAATTGTCACTACCAAACGCTTGTCCTCTGAAACAGAGGATTTGTGGTATCATATTCCCTGAGCAGAGAGATTAATACAGATGTTACTGCACCGACACACGAAAATCACTGCGCACCCACTGCCGAGGTGAGACACTGGTCTCGCCGGTCTCCAGGTCTTCCAAAACGTCAGAGTACCTCATTACCTCCCAAAACACTCGTCAATACAGATGGCCCAGATGTATGGTTCAGCATTTATATATGTATGCACACAAAAACACGCGTGCTAACTGGACTGATAGGCACATGCCATGCACATACACACACATTTACACAGATGCACGCACACACGCACATAGGTATATACATGCACAGCACCAGAGCAGCCACCTCTTCACTCCTGATTTCCTCCCAGTCTTAAGGCAGCCCCTCACTCTGGTTCGCTTTATGTTCTGCAAACCTGTTGGCATGCACGGCAGGAGCCTCCCAGGGACCTCTTGCACCACAGCGGAGGTCCACTGGTCCCCAGTGCTTGTCCTTGCCAGCAGCCAAATGCGTTTGTCTGGAGGGAAGGGCAGGAGCAGGGGAATAGTTTCAGCTTTGCATGCTACCAACCTCCAGCAACTCCTGGATTCAGACATGCGTTGTATGAGACCTTAAAGCGATTTCTGTCCCATGAGCTGGTCCAGTCACAGTAAGTTTTTAGCATCCAAAATCCTGCAGCAAGGATTTCTACAGGTTAGTTATGGATATGACACTCTGTTTTGGAAATGCCCGGTAATACCTGCCTGTGACAGTGTATGAAGATTACATCCAATACCCTTCTTCAGAAATGTAATTCTCTAAACGAGCAAAACCATCTCCAAATGTGTATATGCTCTAAATTCATGTATATCTGTAAATGCGGCACAAGAAGGACATGTTATGCAGTCAGGGCTGGTGTTTTCGCAACAGTTGCATTTTTAACAATATAAATCTACTTTTATATATATATATTAGGCTCAAATATAGGCGATGGTCATAGTTCATGTAGTAGAAGAAGATTCACTTTTTCCCATACTCAGTTTAATTTCCTCCTCTGCTTAAACTGCTATAGAACATTTTATAGTCACAATCAAAATACAATAGCCCAACTGCATACTATTAATTTTTTATTTTGTTTCAATTTTTATTTTGCTCTGAATCCAACCCTACTTTGATTTGCAATTGTTTTATGAACTTAAAAGCAAGTGACACTTTCAAGGTATTATTGCATCTGTAATTCTCTTTCGCGCATGCATTCGTGAATACTCCAAATCATAATGGTAGGTATGAAGAGGTTTTGTTTTTCTTGTTTGTTTTTCAGACACACAAAAAGCCTTCTGTAGAAATTACAATTACAGCCTCTATTGTTCAGGCACATGTACTCAAAAGAAACAAGACAGCCACCGGTTTAATTGCTACTACTGATATTCCTGACGTAAACTGATTTCTGTGGAGTTCAGCCCCAGACTGAAATAAAAACTCTTATTTACTTTAACTTACTACAAAGAAATACAAAAAACTAAGAGAAAGTA